ATCCGCCGCCCCTTAGATGTGTCTGCCCCCTAGATCTCAGACCACTACTCTAGATTATAGATTTGCTGCCTCCTAGATATGTTGGTCCCCTAGGTCTGCCAGCCTCCTAGATCCTATAGGTTTTCTTCAAGTGAAACCTCTATCTGGACTTATTATACAGTGTAAGTTAATGGCAAAATTGATGGTCTAAACAGGGAGGTTATAATTATAAGGCCACTTGAATCTCCTTGGTCATAAAAATGAAAAACGAACAAATTACAGATCAGGTATAACATTATTGATATTAAAATATAAAATTAATGGCTTGCGATTTCCCTTTTTTGTTGACATATCTAACCTGTACAAATATTGGTGAAACTGATGTGACATTTAGGTAACAAGTGTGTTGTCATTTCATAGCCTCCACCAGGCCTTCCTAAGGGGTTAGAGACAGTAGAAATTGGCAAAAATAGTATCAGTAATAGGCCAGGGGAGTGAGCCACGGTAAGGCTAACACTTCTCCCTATTTGGCTAATTTGACTATTTCTCAGCCGTCGTTGTCAGTCTGGTGGAGACTAGTCATTTCCAGTAAGTTACAACATAACACATGATAAGTACAGTCACACAGGAAAAATCCGGCGGGCCTCTTCCGATGGGCTGGCAGCTTCGTGGATTCGTTTTAGGGCAAAGAACTCTCCTCTTTTCCCTGTTGATAGGAGAACTGGGCTCGCGGCAGGAGGCGGGCACACAGAAGAACAGACTAGCGGAGGCGGGTAAACATTTCACCGCCTGTACAAATTTTAAACCGCGCCTGGGCTAGCCTGTAGGACCCGAGTAGATATAACGGTACAGGATTTCCTCCACATTTATTCAACTTACGAGCTAAGGGAAACGTTCGCTAACTTGCAGTCTATACGGATGAGAAAGGGATATAATTTCCTCTACCTCTGATTTTTGTGAGGTAGCTTGGGTGGGGGGAAGAAAGAGGTGGTTATAATAACAAATTTTGACGTGATTGAGAGAAAGGGCTTGGGACGGTGTCTCCGGCCCGGGAAGTTGAGGCTTACTGACCTTAGTTTTCAGCTGTCCCTGGGTGGACACTTTTCTCCTGAAGGGGCCACGTTCCTCGCACTCTCCGTCGCTGTCGGATGAGTCTTCGGTGGCCTGGGACTCCTGTGCCCGGCCAGTTCGGGGCGAGACAGCGGCCGCTGCACACCCCGGTACTCCTGCTTCCGCCATTTTGGATGGCTCCGAAATTGGACAGTACCACTCGCTTTAGAGGGGGGTTCCTGTATGGGTGTTAGCGGAGGGGGCGTGGCCGCCACCTGTTTGCTAGTGCGCAGCACCCATCCTGACAACGTGGGTGTACAAGGACCATATACAGAACACGAAAAACAAACTACTTCCTAGAAAATATGTATTATGCATCAGACAAATCACTCAGTACACACTTTTAAGAGGGTCTATCTATTTTAGTCTAGTTATTTTTATTCACCATTAAAGGTAGCAAGGCCCAATGTAATACAAGGTTGAGCATTGTCAGGGAATTCTTCTTGAAGCATAATTGGTCACTTTGATTCGCTGGTGTGTTACGCCGAAAGGCGATTATACCGGCTATACAGATACAGATTTTATGTAGATCGTTATTTGTTATGCCAAATTAGTCATTTAAAATTCATGTCTATTCATATCACAAAATCGACTGCCAGATAGCCCGAAAGTCACAATGTATTGACTCCTGTGCCCATTGTGTTGGTGTTCAAAGACAGGTTTTGCCAGATCGACACTAGTGCCTCATGAACACAATCTAAATTACTCATTGAGTCATTCCCAAAGCCTTTCTCTAATTAATTAATTCATTCATTCATTTATTGGTTTGACTTTTCAACACACACAGCCAGGGCAGCCCAACTTGCCTAGGGCTATTACAAAGGGCTAGCCCTGCTGACAAAGAAAGACAACACATTACAATGAAATTGGACACAGACAGCAATATGTGGGGCAGGATTCTGGCAAAATTTAGGGTGGCCCACAAATTTTGCCAGAATCCCCATACAGATCCTCTTGTAATGTAGCCTACAGATGCAGGAGCACACATTGTTTAAATGGTGTAAAGGTCCAGCAAGGACGCATTCTATCTAGAAGAATGTCCTTGGGCCCAGACAGGTTTTGCACCCTGCCTACTGACAAAGAAAGACCTCTGTGTAGCTGTGTAGGGGCAGATTAGCAGTGTGACAACGTGGACCATGGATTACAAAAGAAATCCACTCCGAGCCCACTCCCGTGTACACCTATGTCACTAATGTCTGCTCTAACAAAGGTAAACCAGACGTTGAAGACATTTGTGTTGCCGTAGGCGGCAGGGATGCTCCAATTAAGCCCAATTATCTATATCTAACGCCACGCATCACATGTTCCATGGGTAATGATGAAAGGAAGGCTTCCAATTAACGCGGATGTGCTAAAAATAAAATGGGACGAATACAAGGACAAAGTAAAAAGAGAAGGGATGAAAGAAAATCCAGTTTGTTTGACACTTTCTGCAATTTCCTTCTTTTTTGTTCTGACACCTTTCATGCTTTGCTATCTTTGGAACTAATTTTAGCCCTATGCAAATGTATAACCATTTGTCTCTTTATTCTATATCTCCCATTACTCTACAGAGGTTATTTTTGGTGTGTTTTTTAGGCATTTTTATCAAACTTTCTTTTAGTACTGGCATCTTTTTTTACTCCAGCTCAACAAGTTGCAAATGGCAACTGCCTGGCAGATGGATGCTGCCTAGCCAATTTCATACCGTCTTGGAACCACCAAAAGATGTACTTGAAGATTAATCTGCCATTTCCTTGCCTTGAATCTGAAGTTAATTTAACCTATAAAGACCTACAAATGTGATACAGTGTAAAACAAAAACAAACAATGTGCATCATCTCATGCATACATGCATATATACTAGTTTCATTCAACACTACATATGAATGGTATCAAGGAGATTGTGAGTTATAGCTGTGAACATACCGGGTACCAAGAAAACTAACCACAATGCTCCTTCTGAGGTCACTGTCCTCCTTCAGGGAGTAATAACCCTACGGACATGTATTACTGTTATACAATGTAACCATATTTAGCTATCAAGTCTTCATCTGTGCCATTCCAAACCAATTATAGTTCTTTTTGTCCAGTCTAAAATAGCTACGGAGAGTACAAAAGAGACTCAGCACCTATAATAGGTTTGGATGCCAGGCTCCTAGCATCCTGCACACTTTTCTAGCGGCCTGCGTCATGTTTGACATCAGCACACACATGAATTTTTGCCTGATTTAGAACAAAAAACACTAAACCCTCGTACGGTGGTCAACATGCCAAAAATAGGCAAATATGTTGCAAACATCCATTGGCAAGACAAGGGTCTGATTTATTGTTTACACTTTGATACTGTGATTGTATTTCATCCCTTTTCTACGTGATGTTGCCACTGAGTCAAAACATTTACACACACAGATGCATACAGAAATTGGGACAAAATAGAAAGAACAACACAGTGCATACATCATGCAACCTAAAAGCGATGCTTCAATGTTATCCAAAAATGTCAAAAAATTTGAGATTCGAACTTCCTTTTCTGCACTTTCCCTTACTCCTGCTAGATGGCACTTTGCAATGTGTGATGACTTCAACATGAACTGCAGATGTGTACACTTGAAGTTAGTGGGTAACTTAAACTATCCAGATTTTTGCACTGACACAGAACACATTGGTCTTTTAATGGTGCTTGCACAGGTACATTTTACATTATTAGTTTATCTCTCAATATAGCCAGATGCCATTCACTTGTGCCCATAAAGAAGCACTTAACATTTGTGCAAGTGCATTAAGTTACATCAATGACTCATGTGATCTAATTTTGCGACATTATAACTGACAGTAATAAAATACTGCCAATAACAATCATGCCTGCTTTTATGAGTTTGCAGCTGTGTGAAAATGTCATTTATGTACAGTTTGGTTGTCACAGCTTCAAAGCTGGGACTACCACTGTTACTAGATTGAGTTAATTTGCTGTTGAGGACTTTTCCTACCGTGCAAGTTTGTTCAAGTCCATGTTTATTCATAAAATACTCTAATCCTGCTAAAAGCTTGAAGGAAAGAAGTCAGACAGGCAAATCCACAAGAGAAATCAGAGATTTCAGACTTCCAGAGGTGTTTTGGATATCTGTGAACGTATTGGAACTGTATGCCAAAAAACAGTTACTCAAGCAACTGGATATGATTTTGAAAACGTCAGACGTTTCAGCTAGTATCCACTAGCTTTCGTCAGTGACTGAGAGACCAGAGGGGAAAGCAGGTTTATATACACAACCTGTTGATTGATATGCAAATAAAGTGAAGACAAATTTTTTTGGAAGTCGAAAAAGGAACAAAAGTCAGACAAGTCAAGACAAGATGATGCAAATTAGTCTGAAAGCTCCTGTTATACACTTAAGCTCCTTAGACTTAAGCTCCTGTCCTGTATAACAGGAGCTTTCAGACTAATTTGCATCATCTTGTCTTGACTTGTCTGACTTTTGTTCCTTTTTCGACTTCCAAAAAAATTTGTCTTCACTTTATTTGCATATCAATCAACAGGTTGTGTATATAAACCTGCTTTCCCCTCTGGTCTCTCAGTCACTGACGAAAGCTAGTGGATACTAGCTGAAACGTCTGACGTTTTCAAAATCATATCCAGTTGCTTGAGTAACTGTTTTTTGGCATATCGTATTACCTGGATGTCTAACCTTCATCGACGTATATTGGAACTGTATTGTATGATCATGGAATCTTACTGATTTCAGGGTATATAACAAAATGGATTATTACTTAATGTGCTTGTATGAGGTACAAATCTAACTTCGCTATTTGACCATGGTTTTTATGTTTCATACCATGATTACACAGTATACATTTCTGGCAACCACATGCCAAAATACATGTACCGGTATACTCTTGAGTAACTCATCACAAAAAAGACAAAAACAACTTGTGGATTTTTTATTGGGAACTTTATTCAATTAAAATTCATCAAACACTTGCTTAAAGTAATAATCAACAATCACGAAATTAAAAGTGCCAGTACAAAATGAATCAAAAGAAATTTGATACAGGCATTAGGAGTCTAGATCCGATTAAGAAATATCTCCTGGTGCAAAATACAAATCTTCAACTACAAAAAAATGGTTAATCTCAATGGAACACATTTAAACATGCAGGGGGAAACAAGGGGATATTAGCAGTTGAGAGAGAAGAAATTGGCATCATTGGAATCTACATTTTTGAACACCGGCAGATTACGGTACATATTACGGTGACAGCATTCAAACATACATGTACCTACAACAAAGACAGCATCTCTGACAAAGTCTTTTGCTGGGTCTTTGTTCCCACAGGAATTTTCCTGAAAAGTATGCTGCATGTTCCCTTCTGAACATCCATTCTAACAGAGGTAGAAATTTAGTCCTGCCAAAAACAATCTTTTGCCTTTGATCCAACAGCAATACAGTACAGGTCAAGATGTTAAAGACTTGTCAAGGATACAGTCTGCCGTGAAAAAATTGAAGACATACCACAAACAGCAGTCACTTGTTGTTTTCATCACATACTTGGTATGTCCATAGTGATATTATACTCAGAGTCAGCCATTTACTCTAACACCAAATTCTGCACAACTGTATTTTGGAATTACAAAAAAAAGTCTAAACCACAAAACTGTCAGATACCAACCATGCCAATATACCCTTCACATAAAAATCATTGCATCTTACAGAAGAATCCAGAAAAGATCCACATTTTTTTATCAATTAACTCTTGACTTGACTACTTCACTTGCTACTAAACATCTGAAAACAACCGACCCACCGACTACATTTTCCTAAGAAACCCAAGAGATAGAAGCAAGTGGAGGATTGCATATAAGACTTGCCTAGATACACCTTGCCTCCCTCCCTACAGGAAGACACAATTAAGTCTAAATTGTCTAAAATCCCATCCAAACTGTAGAGAGGGAGCTTACTACTAACACCATCTACACACTACAAGGAAAGGAACACAAACTCCTGCAGGAACTATGGGGAAGGTCCGGGATCTTATACAGACACGTATATATAATATATCTACATATTTATCTACCTGACAAAGCCTCAAACTAGTAATATCATCATAGCAGTTGTGTTTTTTTTTTTCAGCAGTCAAAAAGTTTGCGATTTGACATAGCTGGTTGTTAGAAGCTGTGTTGACTAGTTACATTCTGTTACACACGTGAAACACTAATGTTTAAAAAATGCCTCTACATAAGAGCCAATGGCAGCCACCTAAGTTTGGTTCTGGAGTAAACGTACATCGATTACACAAGCAGGACAGTTCTTACAAGTACTTAAAATTACAGCGAAATAAAAAAAATGAACGTCTAATTCATGAACTGTATTAATTTCTGTATTTAGTTGTAATATCTCTCTAGACTGACAGAACGATCAGTCCTGTTAACATTTGAACAGTGAATTTTACATCTTAGACAATTCATTGATATTTAGTGTTTGAAGCATTATGTGTTATGTATGGCTACAGGAGGAGGAGGGTTATATAATGTACATATGAAGGTGCACTACACGATGGAATCTCTAGGGGGAGCAGCGATTCATTCTCCATGGGAGAGGAAAAACAAAAGAAAAAAAAACAAGCCCTGAATTTTCCTATTTACATGTGGATATGAATGGAAAAGAGGCAAATCCTAATGTTCTAGAAGTGCGTGGGAATTACATTAGATTCTTTGTGCAAGTAACACTATACAATGTTGGATATTAACTGTTTGCTTGCTTTCTACTGTTGACGTTTTCTCATGCTGACAAGGATATCTGTAACTTTGGGTTCAACAACGGTTTTTAACTTCTCTTTATAGTATTTTTGGTGTTTGTCCATAGTTCAGGACCTGATATATGACACTGTTATCTACAGTAGCTTGTGAAATCTTGGAAACATGCACTGTGGAACACAATCAGTGGCCTAGAACAGGAATAAATACATCCTTAATCCACCCAGTAACGGCCTCCTCCCCCCCTATGCTGACCACCATTTCTTTACTCTAAAACCCTAGTTATACATCGACCATCTAGGGGAAAGCAATCGTTAGTTGGCTCCGGCGGAGATGCGCAGGTCGATCTGCAAGCGGCCGATGTCTTCTGTCCGGTCGCTGGCCTGGATGTTTCCGGAGAAGGCCTCGCACAGCACGCGGATGTTCTTGTTGGTGGTGACGTTGTTGAACTGGGCGGCGATGAGCGGGCTCAGGTAGCGGGACGTGGCGTCGATCCCGCCGATGTGACCCAGGAAGGGGAAGTAGTTGGCGCCGAACTCGCCGGGGTAGTAGCTGATGTCGTCCTGGTTCAGCGCGTTCCTGTCAGGTGCATACTGGGGAAACAAACAACATTCACTTATCAGAGCAGAATCAGGGATTTCAGATTTCCAGCAGGTATTTGGTGACAGACTCCCTGTGAAGTATTTTGGGTTTTCGTATATGTTTTGGACCCAGAGATAGAGGGAACTGCAAGTTGCAACTTCCTGAATTACTCCATGCTCTAGTGGCATTTTCTTGTGCTGGGTGCCATAATAATACCAATCCTTAAAATACCTACAAAAGAAGGTATTGTTTGCTAGTAGACTTAACAAGGACAACAGCTAGATCCTATGTTCAACATTACACATGAAATGTTGAGACATTTTCCATACCTTGCCTTTGCAGAGGACAGTACCAGCACCGTTGGTGAAGTTCATGGCAGCCAGTTTGTCGGGAACAGTGTCATAGGCAACAGGAATCCAGCCGAAGGCCTGCAACAAAAAAGACATGAAACATTTAGACTTCCAGAACATACTTGTATTGGACTTCATGCAATCCTTAGCTTACTGAATTCCCCCTTATGGACAGTCAAAACCATTTCCTGTGTCTGATCAAGTCCTATTAACCTGTCAATCTGCCAGTCAATCTTCACACACACGTGCTGTCAACCTCCTATATCTGGACAAACAGACACATAAACTCGCAGCTCATGAAAAAAAACCTCCATCTTACCCCAAAATAAAACCACTGTGACAGTTCCATGATCTACAGCACTGGTACACCTACCCTGTTGAACTTGAGGAGGATACAAGGCTTGCCCTGGTCGTAGCCGTACGGAGATGTGGCGCAGGGGCCGAGCTGAGACACGTCAAACTTACACAGCTTCCCCTTGGGGGCAGGACTGGAAGTGCAGTCTACATACACATCATCATTCGTGGTACTGAAACAGACATCCAAACAACACATGTCAGAACAACGATAACCCCAAACTAATTATATTAATCTTCACAGAGAAGAAAACTCACTCAGTTATTTACTCCTGGTACAATTTATAGACAGGGCTTACGTATAGTTATTCTATGTTCATTTTTGTGTTTTTTAGTGGTTTTAGACATCTTTGGACATCCAGACCAGTGAAATGCCCCCCTCCCACTTCCTTCACAGAAGGAAAACACATGTGGCTTTAAACGACACAGTTAGATGTGCAAAGGTTAGGCATGGCAGGTTGTTCAGTGTAATATAACCAGTTGCTGGTGTGCCTGAAAAGCTTATGGTGTTATCTTGAACAAAACTTATATTGGTACAATCTATATAGATGCAGATACAGAGCATTAAAGGTTGCTGACTTACTTGTATGGTGCCAGGTAGCTGTCCAGCTGGTTAACGTACTTCGCGTAGGACTTGGCTTGGGTGGGGTTGAAGGCGATGTTACCCTCCGTTTTGATATTAGGGCGGAACCCCACACCTGGGAAATAGACAAGTTAACAAGATACAGTCATGAGAACAAAATCCATGTCTGTTATACAGTTAGTGGTGCATCTTGAGTCACACTCCTTTTAATTTCTGTTTCTTACATAGTCCAGCCAGTATGTGACCTGTGTTACCTTGGTAAAACATAGGATATTGGGGCTGCTGGCCCACATAACAGAAACATTCTCTTTCACAAAACTACCAATAAGAGCTCTGGATTCTTTATCACCATGAAAGTCAATCCAACAGATCAGGATTCTCTGTTACTATGGAAATCAGTCATCATATCTTCCAACATTATGTCCATCAATCATCTAGGGGCCTGACCAGGGGAAGGGCTGCTAGAAGTGTGATGTAGTCAGGTTATTTCACAGTGTAGACAGAAACTTCTATATCTAATCTTATTCTTAGATCTACTTTCCCACTGCATCACGTCTTCAAAATGATAAGACAGTACTTACTGGGGATGTTCATGTAGTTGGTGCCGGCCCAGTAGGTAGGTTGTTCCCAGCTCAGGGTCTGGTAGAAGACTATCAGGGTGATGGCAAAGAAACATGCCAGGCAGGAGTAGAAGATCAGGTAGAACAGACCAACCTCACCTAGAAAGAGAACACAATATTCCATTAACTCTAATTTGTCTAGAATATCTTTTACGTAACACAAACATGCCCGTGGTTATATAATGGTGAGCTTTTTAGATGCAGAGTAAGACGGATGAGAAATAGCTATCCCCCATTGACACTGTGTCTAGTCATACATAATACATGAGGAAAGGCACTTTTTCAGTATAAGCTCTGTCTGTGTAGACTAACCCCTATTAACAAATGCTAAGACTGGTTTTTCACTGTTGTGACATTATCAACTTGTCAAGAAACCACCAAGCACAAGGGAGAATATGTCAATTTTTACATTCATCAAGCGGGTTATGTATATATGTATAACTCAAGATCTCGTGGATGGATATTCATGATATTTAGTGAGTAGTTTGGTACTAGAAGCATGAGGCTCAAGTTTAATAATGAACACACTAGTGGCATTCTATGGTACTGCAGCGGCTCTATTTAATCCCGACTATGGTCACATTTTTATTAAGTGGTAAACAGGTCTTGGGCCAGGGAGTACATGGGATAATTTTGGGCCCCCTAGCTTCCGTTTTTGGAACTGCATCTGCTGTGTTGGATACCTGATGTACTGTATGCATGTACACGTTAGTACATGCATGCAAAGTTCGATGCCTTCTAAAAGTTACAAATATTAGTAGGCAGTAACAGTAAGACAGGAACCCTGAAATTTGACCAGTTGGCCCAAGGCCATAGATCCAACATACGCACATGACCTGAGGTAAACTTAGGCATCAAGTAACCAAAGTACCACAGCGTGACCCAAAGAATCCACAGTATGTAGTCGCCATGTTGTTTTTGGTGTTTGGACGCTCGTGCACTTGAAGTCACTGACTTCTGCACACTTGAGCTTTAGTTCAAGTACGCTGAAGCCCAAACATGAAAAACAACATGGCTGCTACATTCTCTGATGGCCTGGGTCCTCGTGGCATTTTGCCAAGGACATGGATAAATGCACACCGCTGCTACTCAGAGCTTGATAGATAAAACATCAGCAACCTTTATGTTGCCTAGTTACTAGGCTACAGCAGGCTTATATGGAAGGCTACTTCAAGTACATAAACCTACAGACTCAAGTTAACCTGTGAACCAGGCCCCACGGATAGGTTAAGACCCTGTTCATACCAGACTTATATAAACCGGTTGAAACCGCTAAATAATTAACCCGGCAAAAACCCGTCGCGTTCACACCAGACTTACAAAACCGGTTTTTCAAAGACCCTGTTCATACCAGACTTATATTTAGCGGTTTCAACCGGTTTTTCAAAAACCCGTCTAAAACCCTTAGCGTTCATACCAGACTTTTGATAACCGGTTTTGTAAAAATCCTGTCCGGTGAATATCCAATTAATCGGCCATGACTGCAGTTTGAATAACCGTTCCTCCCGCTCTTCTGATTGTTGTCCTTGGCCTTCTTGCTTGTATGCTTTCTTAGTTTTTTTTTTTTTACCTTTACTGCGGCACTGATCCTTTATCTTCAAGAAATCAGCCTCCTCCAACATTTTTGTTTCGGTAGAGCCCTCCCCCCCCCCTAGCTTTTTCGAATTTGGCGACTCCTGCTCTCCAAACCTAAGTATCAGGAGCGTCCCGTTCGCCGACCAGGTTGCGTTTGCTGATTCCATCGCAAAATGAAAAAAAACGTGGAAAACAGTGGAAACGAACAAAGTTGGTCAAAACAACGCGATCAAAAAGCTTGCAGGTCGCACACGGCCAGGATGCTGACCCCGTGACCCCGGAATTATGACGCAAAAACCGGTTCAATAAACCCTTAGCGTTCAGACCAGGTTTTTCGGTGGAAAAACCCCACAAAAACCCCTCAAAAACCACCTCCCGAGGTGGTTTTTCAAAATCGGATTTAAACCCCTAAAAAACCGGTTAATTTGCGTTCACACCAGGTTAAATAAAAAACCGGTTTTTGAAAAACCGGTTGAAACCGCTAAATATAAGTCTGGTATGAACAGGGTCAAAAACCCTGTCCAGCGAATATCCGGTTAATCGGCCATTACCAGGCTCCTCCAACAGTTTTGTTTTGGTAGAGACCTCAATAGAGCCCTCCCCCCAGCTTTTTCGAATTCGGCGATCAACTCCTGCTCTCCAAAATACGTATCGGGAGCGTCTCGTCCCCCGACCAGGTTGCGTTGGCTAATTCCATCGTAAAAAATGAAGAGAAACCGTGGAAAAACAGTGGAAACTGTCTAAACAGCGCGATCAAAAAAGCTTGGAGGTCGCACACGGCCAGGATGCTGACCCCGTGACCCCGGAATTATGACGCAAAAACCGGTTCAATAAACCCTTAGCGTTCAGACCAGGTTTTTCGGTGGAAAAACCCCACAAAAACCCCTCAAAAACCACCTCCCGAGGTGGTTTTTCAAAATCGGATTTAAACCCCTAAAAAACCGGTTAACTTGCGTTCACACCAGGTTAAATAAAAACCAGTTTTTGAAAAACCGGTTGAAACCGCTAAATATTAGTCTGGTATGAACAGGGTCTAAATATAAGTCTAGTATGAACAGGGTCTAAGTTTGTGGGTGATTTATAAAGATTAAAGCTAGCAGACTGACATGTTGTAGACATGGTGTAGTCTAGCCACCAGGTGAGCCCAATGTCACATTTTGGATGGCTTTAAATGGATGGAACAAAGAAAAAGTGTAGGGAGTGCTAATGAAACATGTATGTATGATACTGCTACTATATATAACGACAAGGTTATAGTGTTAAGCATGGCACTGCATTTGTTACAGTTGTACATGATGCACAAGGGAGATATGAAGATTTGTGAGCCACAATTACTGAGGAAAATAAATGTATTCCACACACTGCGTAACCCAATTTATCTTCATATGACTATCAGTGAGCCTAGAATTCAAAATAACCTGATTTGTGTACATGCACATTAATTCTCCTATCGCAGTTTTCATACATATACGTCATTTTTATGACTTCAAAATTAATTGACCAAACATAATGAGGGGAACTACTTTAGTTAGCAGTGACTTGGAAAACGTGAAATGATAATGCATGAAATTTTCATCAATCATAATTGCACTGTGCAAAGAAAGATATGAAATTTCTCTGGCTCCACTCTATATGATCATATCCCCACTTAATGGAAAACAGTAATTGAGGAGTGATCGGGAACAAAATGAAGCTACAGCCGTAACAGGGACATGATGAGATCTCATCACAGACATGTGTCAAGTGACATAATTAGATTGGACATAACCCCTCCTGATTGGCTGACAAAAGAACTACAGTCTCAATCATTTGCAAGCTGTACCAACATAAACACATATGTATATGTATATGTACTGGTAATAATACTGTATTTTACTGTTATTTGGTATTTTCTACTGGGATTGAAAGACCTTAAAATAATTTTTTCTACAACATGTCGGGCTCTCAATACCCAGCCTGCGTTACTTAGCTTCCCGAATATACCTTTTTCTATAAGGCAAAAATTTTAAAGTCCTGTTAAATGATACCAACTGAAATTACATGTTGTGCATTAGGGCAGATATATGTATAGATTTCTTTAGCAGCATTGTTTATTTTAGGTATGGAAGTATTCTTTAGGGTGGCTGAGCTGTGGGTTTATGTACCTGTTCGTCGACCTCCAGACACAGCATGTGGGTGGGGAAGATTGACAGGCAGAATGACAGGTGAAACGTCTCAATTTGTCTGGTGAGCTAGCAGGAATTTAAGTTCAAAGTTGAGGATTGTATACTTGCCGAAAGTCTGAAATCTCTGTTTCCTCCTTTATGTTCTTGGTTCAAGTTCAGCAAAAGCCAAGTCCAGTACCCATTATACATGTATATGTAAATTCTATTTTCTTCTACATATTCTACAAAGCAGTCCTTTTATTTCAGGTGACCCTGCGATTCACCTTCCATTATTCCCACTTTGTTCCTTGATGGTCGTCATTTTGTCCCAGATTGCTACATTAGGTAGGTGACGTACATTTGTGCCACATGCTTCTCACGGGTGAGATTACGGTGCTAAATTATTCACAAGCAAACTAGCTGTTGTTTTAGCAGCTAAAATATTCATGGAAAGCTGCTGAATTTTTGTCAAGTATACCACAAACCTTAATCTTTCAAGTGGTCAGAACATAGTGTGTGTATGAGAATCATGTATTTGTCCCAAATCAAAAGTTAAATACTGTTTTTTTGGTTATAGATGTTTCATGGTTGCTTGAAGTTGAACTTGAAGCACATGACACCCGCCCACAACCCATCATGATATATAGGGCCAAGGAAAATTAATCTTGTGTTTCTGATATCAGTCATTAAAAAATTAGCCCCGTAGGTTGAATTTCTCTATCTCTGAGTCTCTTTTTTTTTAATTTTGACTAAAGTGATCCAACATTATTGTAAAAATGAAATGCTTAAGTCTCCAGGACATCTCCCTCTGTTTGTTTGTAAGGAAGGACAAATATTTCACTCGACTGAAAATATGTGATATCGATTAAGACGGTTTAAAATTTAGATGTCTGATCAAAAATTTAGAAAACCCTTGCAAACACTGAAGCCAAAAAAAGGCTTTGCTAGGTTCTGTCAGGAAAACTGGAAACACAACATTTTTTCCTAAGGCCTAACCTTGAATGAGGCTTTATTTATACATTGTTGACCCAGTTGTGCTTCTACCATGCCCTTGGTGCTTGCTGTCTCCACCTGACCTATATTTAGCAGGCACAAATCCACTCATGTTTATTCAGACCTTTAACATCATGTACTGTAGATGCAGAAACTTTTGCAGTGACTTTATTTTCCCGTGACTGAAACTGAGTTTTTTTGCGGTATTTGAACTTCACAGTTGAAACAATTTTGCAATACCTAATAAAAATGCAAAACACTTATTTCTTGTGACCGTGTCATGATTTCGTGTCTAGAGGGCACTGTGAAAATATAACCACTGCGAAAGTAAATGGATTTACTGTATAGCAGGCTACTTTCTATGCAGCCCGTTCTATATATACACAT